TTCAGGCTCACACTCATGTTGTGAGTCAGTCTGTCTCGGGAGATGCGATTTGCCTGTCTGTCTGTCTGAAAGGTCCCAAACCCTGGGCTCTCCAAAACGCTGGAAAAAAAAATCGGGAAAATTCGTCGGAATGTGTACTTTCATTCATTGGAGTCTCTGCAACTCAGCGGTGCTGGTTGCTGAGCCCCTAAGTTGGAAGGAAGCTTTCCTCCCGCTTTCTAGGTGCGGGGTCCTCTGGCTCCCTCCGCCGTGGGCAGTGTTTCTGGCTCCAGGTTCGCGGGTCGTCCGGAGGTTTGAGACCAGACAACTCCCAGTTAGGCAGGGAGGCGGGAGACAGACGAGCTGCTCTGGCCCTTAATTGTACTTCGGCCCGTATTGTCTCTCCTTTCGCCACCTCCGCTTCCTCCGTCTAGGCTCCAAAGTCACTGTAAATTTCCTTGCGACACACACATCACACAAAAGATCAGGTAACAACCACTCAGGGCCGGGGAGGCGCCCGGGAGAGAGCACCCCTAGCCCAGTTACTCACTAGGCTGGGAAATCAGAGCCGGTTGGGGGAGCCGGAAATAGCCCCGTTTGCAGCTGGGCGGCAGGGCGGGGGCGCCGGCGGGAAGGCAAACCCGGCAGGCCGTGGCGTTGAGAGGGCCATGTTCATAGTCCCTGGGGGTTTCACTCCTGCTGGGCTTGGGGGCCTGACTCCTGGTGTGGAGGGATCCCAGATACCCACCTGGGGTGGGGGCAAGACGCGGGTCTCCTCGCGCGGCAGGCCAGAACTCAGTCTCTTCTTCCAGCGCAGGCCTGAGCTAGGAACAGTTGTGTGTGGGTGTGTTTTTTCCCCAACAAAGAGGGATCAGAAGAGAGAAAGGGGGGAAAGTAGAGGGGAACCGGGAGGGGGCGGGGAGGGGAAGAGGGCAGCGGAGAGGAGGTGAAATGAGCCCATTTCAGGGGGAGAAGCAAAATGAAAGCAAACGGAGCTGGCCTCCTCAGAGCCGGGCGGGTGCTGACGAGCTGGGGAGAGGACTCCCTGCCCGCGGCGGCTGCGGATGGCCCACTGGGGGCCTGGGAAAAGCCTGTTTTAAATTTAATCCGAACTTGACGGTGCAGATTGAACCGGAGGGAATTTAAGTCACTAAAAAGGAGGTGCTGGGCAGGAGGCAGGGAGGACTCTAGCCTGTCTTACTGTCTGTCTGTCTTTTCCGTGGTGCTGGCTCTGGCTTGGTTGTGGTGGCAGCTGCTGAGGTTTGAGGTGATGGAGGAAGGATGCCCCTCCCCCTTAGGGTACTCTTTTGCGCCCAGTGGGAAAACTTTTGGGGTGGGAGGGGGGGCTCTTAAAGTCAGAGTGAATGCAGAGCTTCCAGCTATAGCTGGGGTTTCCCCTTTCCCCAACAGGGACTCCCAGTGGCCTGCCTCCAGACCCTCGGGTTCACCCCAGTGGTGCTTAGGAAAATTGAAGAGGGTGGTGGGGGCGAGACGGAGCTGTGGAATCTGGCAGGAAATTCAGAGGGAGTAACTGAAAGCAGGAAGATGAGCCCCTCCTTCTGGGTGCCCCCCCCCCCACACACACACACATCCTTTATGCCCCTACATCCATAAGCCTGGATTTGGGGATAGCCTGAAGGCCTGCTTCAGATCTCTGACCTGCCAACCCATGTCCAAAGGAGGAGAATTGGGACTACAACCTACATGGAACTGTGGAACCTTCAGGACCTAGGCCTCTTCCAGCCCCCCTCCCCAAGGCCGCCTCTCTTGACAAGGCATAGGCAAAATGGGACATTGGCGGGAGGAGGGTGTGGGCGAGGCCTGCTTCCTGATCCACAGCTGTGCCTGTGACTGAGTGGGGAGGGTCCGAGTCCTCGCTCTGAAAGAAAGGCGACAATCTCCCCTAGGTTTCACGGAGGATTTGACTACAGCAGGGAGCGCAGGCCCGGGATCCGGCTGCCGGGTGGCTGCTGCCTCCACTGGGTAGGCAGGCAGGGTGTGCGGGCAGCTAAAGAGTTGAAAAGAAGTCGGTGGCCAAAGGGGTAGGAAATAAAAGGACATCTGTTCACAGCCATGATGTCTATCTGAGGGGCTCCCCCAAATAGCGGAGCCCCAAAGAAGAGGGTGCTAGGGAGCGTCTTTCCCCTAGGAAAGCTGAGGCTCAAGGCAGAGGGGCCCTGGCGCCTGACGGAGAGGCAAAGAGGAGCTGGCGTGAAACCTTCATCTTCTTCGCGACTTGACTAGAATGTGGCTCAGGCCCCAGCCGCCTGAGCAGCTGCCTGCGCAGAAATGGGGTTCTGTATCCCGGAGGCCTAGTGTGCCCACTCGAGCAGGTCGTCGGGAGGGGGCAGGAGAGGAGGCTTCTTCCTCCTTTGTGTTTGGACAGAAGTGGCGGCCGCGCCCTGAGCGGGTCCCGCGGCAAAGGCCCGGCAAGAGGACTGCACAATGCCATGGCTGCTCCACCAGCTCGCGCCCTGCCCTGTCCTGCTCGCGTCTTGCCTGCTTATCGCCGCCTTTCCCTGGCCTCGCTCTCTGCACGCCTTCCCTTCCCCACTAGCTATCTTTTCCTCTTGCCCTTCTTCTTTCCTCTAATTCGCCCCCTCTCTTGTCCTTTCTTTCCTAAGCCTCCGTTTCCTTATTTTCTTCCTTCCTTCCTCTCTGCGGGCCTGGCTCTGTGTTTCAGTTGGTCTGTCTTGGGCTGTCTCCGGTTCAGTCTCTCTCAGTCTGTCCCCTGATGTCCTCTTGGTCACAGTCTGGCCCCGGGCCCCTGCTGAAGGCTCAATGTCCCTGCTCATTGCTGCCAGCAGCCGCCCCGGAGCCGGGCAGGGTCCCCAGCCGCGGGGGGGAGGGGGGCTGGGGGAGGTGCTGTCCGTGCTGGGGATTTGGAGATAGCCTCGGCAGGGGGACGGGAACCTCCGGTCTTTTCCTTGAACTAGTGAGGGAGATTTTTTGATTGACAGCTAACCCTACTCCATCAAGGCCAAAGAGATATTCTGCCCCTTGTAGTAATTTGGATTTCTCAGTTGTCCTGTTGAGCCCCAGGGGTGGAGAAGACAGTCAAACCGATGGCTACTACCAGGCTGAGGCCCCTGGTTGTAGATGAGGTGTTTCCCTCATCACCCCCCCACCCCAGCGTTGAAATTCCAGCCCGGATTGACCGAAAAGGAAAGAATGAGAGTGGGGGAGGAGCAGAGACTGGGGTGGGGGCCTGGTAGGCTGGGGTTAACGCTTGGGGCTGCAGCTTTACCAATCCCCCTAACTTTCCTCCCCCAAACACACAGACACTCTCCCGTACTCCTCTTTCCAGCCCTTCTCCACTCTGGGGAAAACAGGTCAACAGAGATGCTGGTGAAAACCAGCCCCAGCCCCCACCCCTGGCGTTTGGTCCCCTCTGGGGGACAGGAGAGGGAAAGAAGGGCAGGCGCCTTGGGTCTGGGAAACCTCCTTCCCTGCCACCTCAGAGCCTGCATCTCAGCCTTAGCTCCAGCTTCTCTCCCCAGCACAGACTGTGTCTTGTCCCCTCTGACCCTGAAATTGCATCCCCCCCGCCCTTCAAACTCACTTTGCCTCACCTCAGGTGCACTGAGTCTCTGGAGACCAATTCCTTTTCTCACCTGTCCTTCTTCCCCCAGCCAACCTCCCTGCCCCCTTGCCTGCACCCACACTGAGGATTTCTCCCACACCTAAAACTCCCTTTTCTGGGCCACCCGTGGACAACCTGATGAAAAGAAGGCTGGGGAACAAACCCCAAATTCAAGGAGGAGGGTAGCTGCCAACTTATTGGGGGTAGGACTCTAAGTTCCTTGATCTTCCCCTTCTAATCATACTGCCCCCTCCACAATTCCTGCATTCAACCCCAGAGAAATTGCTTTCTGCTTGCCTTCCATTGCCTTTTTCCCATTCCAAAAACAGCCTACAATTTTATTTAATGAAAGACACATTTATGAACAATCAAATGATCCTCATAAAATTTTTATTGAAGGACGTAAAAACAAGCTACTTGCCCACGACCGAGGTCGCTCTGCTCTTTCGCCTTGCCCGCTCTCACCCCAGCTCTCTGCAGACAGCCCAGGAGTTGACTTCTTTTTTTGGGGGGGAAGGGTGTCTCTGCGATGGACCTGAGGGCAAAAGAGGGTGAGCAGGAAGACTGGATGGGGATGCCTCATTTAAGTTGTGTAGGTCTCTCCTCCACTTCTTCAAGCTGGCAAAGAAAGATAAATAGATACAGACAATAAATTTAAAATAAAGCTTCTTGTATATCTGTGCCAAGGCAAAGAGAGGACTCTGAGGCTGATGATAAAGGTGCATGGGGTCCCAAAGTCCCACCCCTCCCACACGCGGACCACTTCACCCAAGCTCCCCTTACCCCAGACTTAGGGGGCTGAGTTGGCCAGTGGCAGAAGGACGCTCCCCTTTCCCCCCTTCCCTCCCTCTTCCCCAGTCCCCTCCCACCCTCCCTCCCTCGCTGCTCCTGGAAGAAATACATACATACACACTATTTAAAAACGCATTTTTAAAAGCCACGTTCCGAACTGACAATCGCTGATCTCGGCTCGCGCAGAGACTGCGGGAGCGTTGGGGCCGACAGAGACGGATTACGTCAAGAAATAGTTCCTCCACCTACCTCGGCCTGCCTCCCAGCCCCTGGGGGGCTCCCGCGTCCGCTCTGCTCTGGGGGTCCGGGGACCCTGGCTTGGAGGACTGGCATTTTCACCCCATAGGAGAAAAAAAATCCTCAGGGGGGGCGGGGAGGCCATCTACTTGTGGGTGGACATTGCAAAGGGGGTTCTGAGATGCGATATGAGTCTTCCTGAGGGGGTGGCCGGCATCTTGGGTCCAGAGTTCCGGATCCCCAGGAAAACGCAGGTCGAGGGGATCAGCAGAGAGAAGGGGGTGGGAGAATGGAAAAAAAAAAAAAGCAAGAGAAAAAAAAAAAGCCTCTGCGCATTGATCCGCGCCGTATTTTTGGGTAAATACGATCACGTGGGGGCCGGGGAGCCAATGAGCTGCGGGGAAAAGGCTGGAAAAATAATTACCTGCCTTGATTGTTCTGTGAGCAGATAAAAAGTACATATACAGTTCATACAATAATCTTATGTATGTAAAACCCTGTTACGATGTCGGCGACGGGGCCCATCAGTAACTATTACGTGGACTCGCTCATCTCTCACGACAATGAAGACCTCCTAGCGTCCAGGTTTCCGGCCACGGGGGCTCACCCCGCTGCAGCCAGACCCAGCGGTTTGGTGCCGGACTGTAGCGATTTTCCGTCCTGTAGCTTCGCGCCCAAGCCGGCAGTGTTCAGCACGTCGTGGGCGCCCGTGCCCTCGCAGTCGTCCGTGGTTTACCACCCGTACGGCCCCCAGCCCCACCTCGGCGCCGACACGCGCTACATGCGGACTTGGCTCGAGCCGCTGTCCGGCGCCGTCTCCTTCCCCAGCTTCCCGGCCGGGGGCCGTCACTACGCCCTCAAGCCAGATGCCTACCCCGGGCGCCGCGCCGACTGCGGCCCGGGAGACGGCCGCAGCTACCCGGACTACATGTACGGCTCGCCCGGGGAGCTGCGCGACCGCGCCCCGCAGACACTGCCCTCGCCCGAGGCGGACGCCCTCGCTGGCAGCAAGCACAAAGAAGAGAAGGCCGACCTGGACCCCAGTAAGTTGGGAGCAATTTTCCTTTACAACCGGCGCGGGAGGGGAGGGGAGGACGGGCGGGGGGAGCCGGATTACAGCCCCTCCAAGCGGCTCAGAGAGCGCGGGAGAGGGGCGAGGGCGAGGGGACGAGGACTCAATAAAAGCGAATTACCTTGAGGAGCTTTCAGGGACAGGAAGGTCTGAGAAGGGGGCCCAGGGAGCCAGGTTGAGAGAGGGCCAAGGGGGGCTCCTCTCCCAGGAACTAGCTTTAATGAGAGACCCCCGCCCCCCACCCTTGCCCCAAGCTTTTTGGCTCAGTCACCACTTTCGAAGAAAAGCATACAGGGCCAGGGAATGGGGCAGGGGCGAGGGTTCATTTTATAGTTGGAGGTGGGACAGGGGAGAGGTGGAGAGGACATTGGGGACAGAGAGCAAATAACCTCAGGGAGAAAAATCACCCCTACCTCCCAGCCAGCATGGGGGGGTCTTCACCCCACTAGAGACCCATAAAGCAGAAAAGGCCTGGACTTTTTCTCCCCCAGGAGCACTGGAGTAAGGAGTCTGGGGGATTCTGCAGTCTGGGTACTTGAAGAGATGAGGACTTACTGAGTTGGGAGAGAGAAGTGGGGTGCAAGTCTCCTTAAACTTGAGGACCCTCTTCTGAGGATCTGTAGACAAGAGGGTTGAGGATGGGGGTCAGGGATGAGGAGTAGGGAGGCATCTCCCCACATTAGAGAATTCTAAACACACACACACACACATACACACACACACACACACACACAGTCACACACTCCAGTAAAGGAGACAGGAGTCTTCTGAGTATTGCAAAGAAGAGCTGGGGTGGGTGGGGGGCATGTGGGACCTGCAGGGCCAGAACTGGGGAAAGAGCAGGGGAGGGATGCAGCCCCCTGGGTATGAGGAAGTGTCTGGGGGAGTCCCAGGAGGGGGCTTCAGGAAATCCTTTCCTGCATCCCCATAAGGGGCCAGGGCCTAATTATACCCCTCTGAAGGCTTCCCTCCCTACCCTCAGCTACTCCCATAAACCTGAAATTGGAGGCTTGGCTCCTGCAGAGCCTGTCCTGGGGCTGGTAGGAGAGGGGCACTGGAAGTCAAACAGGGAAGCTAAGATACAGGGGAGCCTGTCCCCAAGGCCAGCAGTTCTCTGGGGAGGGGAGCAAGGCTTTGCTCATCCCAGCATCACCCTAAGAATTCGCCTCAGCAGGGTAGAACTCCCGAGCAGAGATGAGCGCTGCAGAGGGTGGTGAGGGGCCCGGGGATTCTCAGGGTCAGGAAGCAGAACGACTGAAATTTCAGGACTTGGTCGTGGGCTGGGAAGATGGGAGGGGGCAGAGGAGGAGGGAGGTGGGGAGGAGAGAGACCTCGCTATAAAAATAAAAAACAAGAGAGAGAAGCGTTTATGGGCCTATGAAACGGTTGGGAATTTGGACTTTTTATGAGGATATTCTCGAATTACTGCTCTAGAAGCTGAGGACCAGACTGTAGGGGTTTTGATAGCTTTGGATTTCCTACAGTTTTAGGTGCTGGAAACTGAAAAGGGAGGAGATAGGGAGGAGGTAGAATGCAAGAGGAGGAAGGGGGGAAAATTCCTAAAGCAAAACGTGTCCAAATTCAGGTTCAATTATTGGGTTTGGTGAGCCTGGCTAAGCCTGGGGCTAGGGTGGCAGGGGTCTTGGGCTGCAAGGGTGCTCCACTGACCCCTGCCTGTGTTTGGCCCTCCAGGCAACCCCGTGGCCAACTGGATCCACGCCCGGTCCACGAGGAAGAAGCGCTGCCCCTACACCAAGTATCAGACGCTGGAACTGGAGAAGGAGTTTCTCTTCAATATGTATTTAACCAGGGACCGTCGGTACGAGGTGGCCCGGGTTCTCAACCTCACCGAGCGGCAGGTCAAAATCTGGTTTCAGAACCGGAGGATGAAGATGAAAAAGATGAATAAAGAGAAAACCGACAAGGAGCAATCCTAAACCCTGCCCCGGCCTGCTGCCTCGGCACAGCCAAGGGAAAAACAAAAACCCCACAAAAACTCCCCAACCCAAGCAGGAGAGAGCACGAAAAAGAAAAGGAAAGAGCAAGATAGAGAAAAGCTAATCACCTTAAAAAGCAGAAAAAAAAAAAGGGAAAAGGAAAACTCTTGCGATTTGGGAGGGTTCAGTATTGAGAAATTGGTGTTTTAGAGTTAGTTCTACCCAGCAAGGAGGAAGCAGGGAGAGAAACCGCATTCTCTTCCCCCAGCGCAACTGAAATAAATGACACGCATAAATGTGATTTTTTTTTTTCTCCTTTCTTCAGAGAAGCCAGTACTTGAATTGCTATATTTCTACTTTTTTTTTTTTTTTTCCTGTATCCTATTTGGCCTGGGCCATCCTTTTCCTGGCCTGGGACGCTCTGTGTGCAGGTTTTGTACAAAAGAAAAAAAAAAGACACACACACACACATACACAATAGTGGTTCTCAGCCCCGGAGCTGAGGGGTAAGAGCTGGACGGCACCGGCCACAGGCTGGGTCCAGCGGGCGGCGCAGGCCGGCGACTCGGGCGTGTACATAGCAGTGTTTCCTCATCCCCAGCGTCCGTCCCCAGCATCCGTCCTGTAATGTGTTTCTGTTTGTTATGGTAGAACAGCTCTGTGTTAATATATCGAAGTCACTTAAAAAAAACAGAAACCCAACTGCATCCAGTTCTCGTTATTTCTCCTCCCTGTGGCTCCCCGGGCTGCTGTCAAGAGGAGGCAAGTGGAGATCCTCTGGGGGAGACTGGAGCTGGCGAAGGGGCTCCCTCTACCTCGGAAGGGCAAGTGCCTGCCGCTACTCTCCAGGCAGGGCGGGGGGCTCGAGGGGCGGGGTGGAGTCTGTGGAGGCCGGGGTCCAGCCTGTGCCTGCCCCGGCTGGCTGCTAGAGAGCTTCTGGTGGCTGGATGGAGCCAGTGGTGGTGGTGGTGGGGGGGGGCATTGCTCGAATGGTTTTCCCTGGCTGTAATTAATTGTAATAATTTATGAGTACATGAGATCAGAGCAAAGAGATAGGTGAAGATGAAAGTTGGGTGCTGGGTGAGGGCCCGGGCTAGATTCTTGCCTGGCTGCATTGAAGGATGGCTGGGAAGAAAGGCTGGGGTGGGGGTGCAGTGGGGAGAAAGGCCTGGCAGGCCGCAGGGAGCAGCGCAGACTCTGGGGGACTGCAATGAGAGAAAAAGAAAGGAAAATGCAGTGAAAGAGCAGGGAGGGAAGGAAAGAAGAAGAGGATTGGAAAAGGGAGGAAGGAAGTAATAGAGAAAGATGGCAAAGCCAACACAATTAGAATTAGATTCATTTTCTATTTCTCAGTGCATTCTCAGCTTCTCTGTGCATGTCCTATTTTTCTTTCTCTGTCTCTCTAATGTTTAGGTTGAATGTTGGTCTGGGGGTAACGGGTCTTGCTGAGCTGACTGCAGCATTTTTAGGGGCATGGTGTGGCCAGGACCCAAGGAACTGTGGTTAGGGATGAAGTAGGGTTGGGGTGCTCTCCGGTGGCTGTGGGACCCCAGGTGCGAGGGTGTGGGGACATGTGTGTAACTGTCCGGTGGTTCTGGTAGGCTACACTGCACCTCAGAGCACCTTCCCCAGAACCCACAGTTTTCATTTGTTAATCAGAACCAGACATAAACTGCCGGGTATGCCTCAGCCCGGCGCCCCCTTTCTCGGAAATCCCCCAATCTGGAAACTATTAAGCTCAAACTGCTTGAAATATAGCCCTTTAATATCTCAGGCTGTCCATTCTGGCAAGGGTGCAGGGTGTCGCTCTGGATGCTTGGGGAATACCACCTTAAAAGAAAATAATTTGGGGGCCCCCATTCCTCTGCAGCTTCCCCCATAGAATCACCTTACAGATGCGTCAGGCACTTGTAGGGGCCAGCCCTTTCCATGTCCTTTGAACCTCTTACCTCCTCCTTCCATGAAACATTCCAAATTCGAGGCCAGAGGATGGTGGGAACTGGTGAAAATTGTGTTTGGTAATATTTTGAGGGGGCAGTCAGAAGTGCAAAGAATGGACTTTGCAGATGAGAAGCGCCCACTCCCCTTTCCCCAACTCCAGAAGCAATTGTTTTCGTGGACCTTTAGAAAACTGTTTCGTCTGTAGCTTTCTCTTTCCCTGCACCCTCACTCCTCTCCTTGGTCATTTTCCTGGTCTGGGACCCTGGCCTGAATTCTGCACCGGATGGAGACCAAGGCACCCCTCTCTCTGCGTCTGGGCTGGAGGGACGCAGGGCTTCTCTCCCGCCCGAGCTCGGCCGTGTTTCCGGGCTTCTACCCCGCCCCTGCTCCAGGGCCCTGTCGCCTCCGTCCTTCAGCGAGGCCTGCTTCCTGCAGCCCGCCTGAGCTGGCCTTTCTACGGGCAGAAAGGAGGGCCCGCAGGGCTTGGAGGGTCCTGGCGAGAGCATGGGACCCAGATCAACCCGCCCAGCCCACTGTTCAGTCTCAACTCGGCCTGCAGGTCATGATTAGATTCAGTTTTTATTCATTATTATTTATGAATTAAAATACCACCACCACCATCACCACCACACACATCTGGGGAAAGAAATGAGAGCTGGGGGCGAGAGGAGCTAGCAAACACCTCCTCCCCTCATCTTCCCCTCCCACCTCTCCTCTGCTCCTTTGTCAGAATCACAAAACCCTAAAGGTTGTTCCACTTGGGAAGGCAGCGGATAGGTACATTTCCGCAGCTCCAAAATGCCACTTTTATGGTGCTGTTTGTCTCCCTGCACTGGGTTCTGAATGGGGCCGAACAAAACAGCAGCGCGGAGCTGGCTAGACGTCTGGGCTTAATTGTTTTATGGTTTAAATAAGGTGGACACTCTTTCCTTTGAAATCGGATTATAGGAATGTTTTGTCTATGACCCACGGAGAACAGGACCTCACTGGCTGGGAGGGAGAGGTGGGAGAGCGCGCGCGAGAGAGGGATGGGCTACAAACTAGGGGGCAAACAGCCTGTAGAAGTCAGAGTCCCACCCCAAAGTCCGGCAGGCGGCGGCGGAATAGGCGGTGCAGGGACAGCGCCAGGGTAAGAGGGGCGAGGAGCTTAGGGCGCGCGCTGCGGGACGGCTGCAGTGGACGCTCCTGGCATTTGCTTGCGCGGAGATGTTCGGAGTCCATAAATGCGCCTGACTGGGAACCGGCGGGGCGGGGGGTGGTGGCAGATCGCGGCAGGTCCTTTGCCTAGTTCCTCAACGCGGGAAGGAGGGTTCACAAAAAGAGAAAACAGAATGAAACCTTTGACACGGTTTATTTAGAAAACAAAAGAACTTCGGTCCTAGGGAAACTCCCTTCCGGGGAATCCCTCTCTCTGCACCCATTTGGAGGCTTCTTCCTCCCACTTCCCACCTTTGGGCCAAGCCTCGGACCTGCTCGCTGTTGGCTTTTTCTCGGCCGAATTGCAGTGGAGCATGTGGACGCGAGGTGGCGCTGTTGCTCAATGTTAGAGGAGCCTGTGTCCCTGGCCGGCCCGGCAGCACTGACATATGAGGCCCGGCCCAGGAGAGGCGGCGAGAAGGACCAGCGCCCTGGCCCGGCCCGGCCCCACTGACTCTGAGCAAATCAATCCTCTCACCTGCGAGGTGTAAATAAATCGCGAGTGGCAGCGGGAGATGGGCCCTCGCTCGCCCTAGCAGCGGGCTGTGGAGGTGCTGGAGGGCGGGCTTCGAAAATAATCGCTGGCGGAGACAAGCGCGGAGCAGGCAGCGCGTAATTAACACAAAAAGGCAGAATGACCCGGACAAACGAACATAAATCCGTAGTACCTAGGAAAGCGGTGCATGCCTCAGGACGAGGGGCAGAGATAGCCTCGCTGAGGATGGCTGCTTATGGTTCCAGGCTGGGGGCGGGGGCGAATAAACCAGATGCGTGTAAAATAAAACAAATCAAGTGAGAGAAGACAAGGCGCGGCACCCCTAAAATGAGAAACCAAGTCAGCCCAGGGGTTGGTGGACTGGTGGACTCTTCGGGAAAGCATCTGTGGCGGCACACTCGGGACAGTCGCATCCCAAGACACAAAGGCCTGGAAGAATAGCTCTGTGGCAGGGTTTTCGCTGGACCATAAAATGTCGAGATATCCCCCCACCCTCTAAAAGATAAGGCGCAGGCCCGCTGTGCCTTCTCTTTCCAGGCAAGGGAAGAAAAGTATTTATGACAGTACTCGGTGGGCCAGATGCTGGGAGCCGGGAGTCTACCCCGTTCAGCTCCATACACACAGAACAGACTGACAGAAGGCAGGGCTGGATCCAAGGCTGGAATGTGCTGTTGTAGTAGACAAGGCCCCCTGTTGTGCCCCCCCATTATCGACCCTGGGGAGGCCTGAGCCCTAGCATAACTCTCCTCTGACCCTCCCTTCCTTGAGCTCCAAGGATGAAGTTCTGAGTGTCTTCAGAGTTTGGGCAGTCTTTAACTCACACGGGGATGATGAGCTCCCCAAATGCAAGGGATACTAGAGTAGTCTCTTGCTGTGGTACTGGAGAATCTCCTTTGGGAATTTGGCTGGAGAGGGCAATTTCTCCAATAATTATTTAGATAATAGGGAGGCTCTGGGGGCCTTGTTCTTTCTACACCATCCCATTTGCACCCACTCCCCCACCTCCAGAGATACCTCCAGAGATGGGCTCCGGATGGGGAAAGAGGAGATCTGGTCTAACCACCTCCTTCCTCATCCAGCCCTGAAACTCCAGGATGTGGAAGGAAAACAGATAGTAATTTTTTTTAATGATGCAAAGACCTGAAGATGACTGTCAGGTGTTATGTTCTTGTGTGTAAACAGAACCTGTGTGTGCAAATATGTGTGTACAATGTCTATGAGGTGATGGGGTGCTTTCAGGCATGCATGCTGGCTTACTGTGAGGATGCATTTGAAGAGCCTCGGGGAGAGATGGTAGCACATACAGTGTGTGTGTTTCTGGAGTATGCCCGTTTTGCCCTGAGTGTAACCATCTCACACACTGAGGAGGGGGAGGACCAGAAAAGTCATTCTTATTCCTCATCTTCATTCGTATGCATACAGCACACACGTCCATGGCTCTATTGCTGTCTCCCTTTTGCTCTCTGCCTGTGTTCAGCCCACATAACTGTACACACATATGACCAGGGAAGGGTGCTGATGGACTAAGTATCAACTTGCATTTGTCCAGTCTTGGGGCTGGGGGCAATCCCCCAGAGAGAGTCTGGGTAAATATTTAAAGAGTGTCTGTTGACAGTTCCCATCCACATCCTGGCCTGGGTCTCCTGCCTGGGGAACAAGGGGTGCAGGGTGGCCAGGAAACTCTTTCAGGCCTAGATGGCATTTCCTATGGGATGAGGGTATGTGGGGACAAGTAAGAGGACTGTTCCAGTCCCTTCAACCCAGATACAAACAGTCTCCTAAGGAAGAGACATCATGAACCAGCTGGGCCAGAGACCCAGGGACCCACAAGCTTCTCCCTTCTTCCTAGTGAACACAAGCAGCTTCCCTCAGAGAGTCCCGTGCCAAGCTTGTGACTGTTGCCTGAGTGCGGTTCCTGCCTCAAGCAAGGGCTATATCTGAGGTGGCAGTGCAGCCCTGAGCGGGGATAAGGAGCCCCCACATCCTCTGGCCCTCTTCTCTACCCATAGCAGACACGCAAGGGAATCTTAAAGATCTGGGGAAGATAGGGCAGCTCCCCATGCCTGGGAGAGGCTGGGGACAAAAAAGGGGCTGATGCCTGAAGTGTCTGGAGGAAATGGTGCATTTGTTCCTCCTCCAAAGTCCTGAGACTTAAGGACCCCCTTGGAGTCTATCTTTTGGCTTAGGGGACTTGCTCTCACTTGCTGGTGTCCAACCCCCTCAGGGGCCTTATACCTGTTGAGGTAACCTGAGTTGACCTGCTGGCTGAGGTACCTCTCCCAGAGAGGGTGGAAAAGAGAAGGGGGGAGAGAAGCACCTTCGAATCTGAATGCGCACCTTGGCAAAGCGACCCCAGCCTTGAGCTAGGACTGGCTCACCGCCCCCCCCACGCCACCCCATGCCTCCCCCCTTCTCCTGCTTCCAAGTCCCCCCAGCCCTGAGCCCCTCTACCCCCGCGATCTCTCTCTCCCCCCTCCCTCTCTCTCTCTCTCTCTCTCTCCCTCTCTCTCTCTCTCTCTCCCTCTCTCGCCTGTCTTCATGTCGTGGATTGATGAACGCGAATCGCGTGTAAGCGCCGCCACCGCCGGGAGTCTGAGGAATTCGCCTGGGCTGTTAAAGGAAAGAGCTAAGTGAGAGCGCGAGCTCTACCTACCGACAGTGAAGAGAGCCGCCGCCGCCGCCGCCCGCTGCCGCCCGCCGCCGCCGCCCGCGCCCCAGACCCGGGAGCGGGGCTGAGCCCGCCGAGCTCAGCACCGAGGCGCCCCCACCTGCCCAGCCCCCAGCCCACCAGCCCACCAGCCCAGCCCAGTGCAGGAGAGCCGGCCGGCCTGGGGTTCGGTCCCGGGGGGAGGGGAGTTTCTGGGGTACCGGGCGGGGGAGCCGGAGCCAGAGGGGAGGGGGCCGCGGGTTTTCATGTGCCCAGCATGAGCTCCTACTTCGTCAACCCCCTGTTCTCCAAATACAAAGGCGGCGAGTCCCTGGAACCGGCCTATTACGACTGCCGGTTCCCTCAGAGCGTGGGCAGGAGCCATGCGCTGGTGTACGGGCCCGGAGGCTCGGCGCCCGGCTTCCAGCACGCCTCGCACCACGTCCAAGACTTCTTCCACCACGGCACCTCGGGCATCTCCAATTCGGGGTACCAGCAGAACCCGTGCTCCCTGAGCTGCCACGGAGACGCCTCCAAATTCTATGGCTACGAGGCGCTCCCCAGACAGTCCCTTTATGGGGCTCAGCAAGAGGCGAGCGTGGTGCAATATCCCGACTGTAAATCCTCCGCCAACACTAACAGTAGCGAAGGACAAGGCCACTTAAATCAAAACTCGTCTCCCAGCCTCATGTTTCCATGGATGAGACCCCACGGTGAGAAGCCTTTTCTCTTTCCCCCTTGGTCTCCCGCGCTCCGGGGTCTTTCCCCCCTCCCTCGCCTCCTTTTTGTCTGCCTTTGCTTTCCCTCCTGGCTTTGGGGTCTCTCCTGTCTCCCCACCTCCCGTGCCTGGGTGGGTTTCTCCAGGTTGGGAAGGTTCAGCTGAGGATGGAGCGTGTGAAGCTCCTAAGATGTCTGGGGGACTGGGGTGAAGGTGGGGGAAAGGTGGTGGCTGAGTGCAAAGGGTTAAAAACCGTTTCCTCCATCTATCTCTCTGTCTGCCTGTCTGTCTTCCCCTTTCCCAATCTCTAAAGCTAAAGTTGGGGAGGTGGCTGGGAAGGGGCCCCACTACCTTGAGGTGCTCAGCCTTTGCAGAGAATCAGCACTGCACAAGGCAGAGAGGCTGAGTCCAGGATAGTGGCCAGACTGTCCTGGGGTGAAGGGAGACCCCTGTTTCCCTCCCCTGGCTGGGTCAGAGAGTGGCAAAACCCCGAGGACAGGTGTCTGGCTCTCTGAGGTACCCACTGCCCCCTCTCAGAGACTAGCTTGAGGGCCACTACCCCAACTTTGCTGTACTTCCCCCAGTTGAAGAAAAGACAGGGAGCAGGAGAGGAATTAAAAAGAGTGCTTGGAAAGAGGGAGGCCATACAGATTAGGGGCTCTCAGGTTCAGAGGACCCTGGCAAGGCTTCCTCCAATCAAGGGCTTATAGGGTCTCCCTGAGACCCTCAAAGGAGGCTCAGGTCATGAGCCCCTCCAAGGGCAGCTCTTCATGGCCCAATTTCGAAGTAAAAGGGGAGGCGAGAAAGAGACAAGTTCCAGCGGGGATGGCCCGTGATTTATTTGCTGGTCTCTAGTTAGCCATCAGGCCGAGCAGTGATACATTCCAGGAGATCAATTATATTTCTTATTGGAAAAGCATTAGGCTGAGAGAGGTGAAGAGGGGGTTAGTGAGCAGTCCCCCCCTCTTCTTTATCCTCAGCCTTGTTTTCTTTCTTTTGGAAACAGACTCTGTCCCCAACCCTGCTCTCCAAACGCCACCCTGCACTTGTAAACAAAGCTGCAAGGGCCAGCTTCCCCGGAATTGCAGGCCTGGGGAACTCTGCAGGGTTCCCCTGGCCCCTGCCAGCCCCTGGTTTACACTTAGCCCCCAGTCTCTGCCCCCACCCTCGTCCCACCTCCTAAGGTGAGGTCAAACCAAAACAACCCCCCAAACTTTCCTTCCCTTGCCTGCTTTCCACCCTTGCCTTTTCCTCAGGAAGGAGGGGAGCTGGGGAGCTCAGGGGAGAACTTTAGGGGAGGAAGGGTGACAGAGGAAACCCGAACCCCTACCCAAACATAACCAGACTGGGGTTCTGTTCTGTCCAGCTCCGGGGCGACGCAGTGGACGGCAAACTTACAGCCGGTATCAGACCTTGGAACTAGAAAAGGAGTTTCTCTTTAATCCTTATTTGACACGAAAGCGCCGGATTGAAGTCTCTCATGCCCTGGGACTGACTGAGAGACAAGTGAAGATCTGGTTCCAGAACCGAAGGATGAAATGGAAAAAGGAGAACAACAAGGATAAACTTCCCGGAGCCCGAGATGAGGAGAAAGCAGAGGAAGAAGGAAATGAGGAAGAGGAGAAAGAAGAGGAGGAAAAGGAAGAAAACAAGGACTAAACAAAAAAAGAGAGAGATTTTCCCCCCCTTTTAGCAACTCCCTTGAAGTTTCGTTTTATGGTAGCGGATAAATTGAGAAGTTTACGACTGTCATTTGCTTTTATAGAGAATAGAATGACACTCACAACTCTAACTACCTGTCAGATACTAGCAGCTCTGGTTTTATTACCTTTGGACTCCCCCCGCTCTTTATTTGTCTGGGGGCTGAAGGGGGGAGAGCGAGACGCAGCGAGAAGGAAAAGTTCTGACTCTGTCTCAGTTCTGGCCCCCAGCACACACACTTGCCCCTACCCCCACCCTTAGGAGTCCTTCCTGGGTTTTCAGGTCTGCGACCTGGCCTCCTGGCCCCCTCTCTCACCCCCTTCTTGTCACAGTCCCACCTTCCTCTTTCTCTGGTATTTATTTTAGAGGGGAGCCCCCTCAAAATGCGGAAGAATATTCGTGGCTTTGTTTTTATGCTAGGATTTAGCTTATTAAGTTTACTTTTCTGAAAAGGAAAAGGAAGAAAAATAAGAAAGGAAAAGAAATATTTAAAAGAGATATGAGGATGGTAGCAAGGAATATTCCCTCCACGGAGCTTCCCGCTTTGAACGACCCCCTTGACTTTCTCTAGGAACCTGATGGAAACCTGAAGATGTGGGTCTCTCCCATCCCCTGCTTTCTGAGGGGTAGATAGGAACCTGCAGTTGCCTCTGAATCCTACCTAGCCATCCCATGGTCACTCGGGCCCAAGCCCTCTCTCTCTTTCACTGTCTGATCTCTGTTCTGTTGGGCCTGGCTTCCTCTGAGCGGCGTTACCGCTAGTGCTCAGAAATTACCATAATCATGAAAATAATGATGATGATGATAATAATATTGATACTGATAATAAATCTATAACATACTACCTAAAGGGAACCTGCAATAATATAGAAAAAAAAATCCTAATAGAGGAGGAAAAAAAAAAGAGAAAAAAAAAGAAAAAAAAAAGAAAGAAACCTCCAACGTATTTTATCAGTACCTATAGAAAGAAATCCTGCTTTGAGAGTATTCGTAATGCAGTTTTGTTGTCGTTTGTTGCTGCTTATTTCACTAAGAAAACCCAACAACTGAGACTGCCTAGCCCGCCGGTCCTGTGCGCTTTTATTGTGCTTCTAACCCCAGTAGAGTAGAACTAAATTGCACTGAATATATAGTTAACTCTCTGTCTTGAATTCTCTGTTTATGCAATGTGCTCGAAAGAAAGAAAAAAAACGTTAAAAATATATCTATAATAATAATTTTTGGTCATTTGTCTTTATGTCCAGCTATGAATGTAGATTTTGTGTCCTAACAGCCCTGTTCCTGGTCCAAGTACTTTGTATTGTATATGTGAGTCATAATAAAAAAAAAAAAAAGGAGAAAAAAATATTTGAAGCTGAAATGACTTGCCTTCTCTCCATCACTCACCCTGTCTCTACCCCTCACCCTTGCTCCTTATCCCTCTTCTATTGGTTTGGCTTTTGGGGGGGAACAACTCACATGGAGGGGGCCTGGAAGTTAAGGTGGCCAACTGAGTTGGGAGGGCAAGGTGAAAGGGAGGGGGAGGAGGAAGAGGTAAAGGTTCAGTTCAGTGCTGAGGAGAGGAGGGGTCTATCAGTATGTTCTTGGGGGAACTTGGCTGCTAACAAAGTGGGTTTCTCAACAGCAGTACCTCACAGTACTTCATTGAGAAGAAAGATTATCCCCACACATCTCCCCTCCTCCTCCTCAAGCCTGGGGTAGGCCTAGACAAAGAATCTGTCCATGCACCTCCTAAAAGCTAGAACTTTTTCTTCCAGGCTCTGAGGACGAGGCAATGAGGTCCTTTCTGATCTCCATAGCCCCTTTGGTCAGTCCCTTGGTACCCAGCCCCTAGCAGTGGGGGAAGTGTGGCTCAAGGCAGCTGATAAGTCTAGAGGGCTTGTGGGAGGATGCCTAAAGGTGGGGAATCCTAAGGGTGGGGATGAGGAGGCTTATGACAGGAGAAGACTGGAGAAGGGGAAGATGAATGATTTGGTGAACCAGCTAGCCTGGATCCAGATCTTGAAACTTGGCCGGCAAAGAGCCATCACTGTAACCCAGCCAGAAGGTCCACTCTAGCCCCTATTCTTGCTGTTTCAAGGCAGCTTCCTGCTTCACCTGGGCAATTGGGAAGCCTGCTCTGGCTCTATAGTCCAGCCCATTAGCCTGGGGGTGGTGTATAGGCTTGCTTAGTGGACAGTCCTCCACCCCCAGCAGCAACAGAGTTCGGGAGTCTCCATGGGACTCTTCATTGCCCAAAATAGAAGGCTGAACCCAGGGGGCAACCGGGTCTCTCACTTCTCTCTGGAGAGTCCTAGACCAGAAATCTGTTTATACCTATAAGATTCTGGTCAAATAATCCCAAATTCCAGAGATAAAAGTCTCTGACTCAGCCAGGAGAGTGGCTAAGGGGAGAGGATCTTCTGGTCTTAAAAACCAGACTCCCAAAGACTGAAATCTTTTTTGAGGCCAGATTTTTTTTTCCCCCTTTTTCCCCCCTCTTTCTCCTCTGGTCAATGCTTTTCCCAGACCTAGGCCCAGGCGGATTCATGTTTTGTGTATTTTCACCCGGGATCTTGCCTGGCTCCCACGCAAAGTGCTCCTGGATACGACTGCGACAGGCGCGGTTGATAGGGACTCCTGCCATCCGCAGGAGGCTGCGGACTGGAAGCGCAGGCTGCGGGCCGCTGGGGACAGCTTTAAGCAGGAGCTCCCGGGACATCTTTCCGAACCTGGGGTCTCTGTTGCGAATGCGGCGACAGCCAGGTAACCCGTTTGCTGTAGGAGACGCAGGGCTACCCGCAGGGGAGGCCCAAAGAGAGAGCATTTCGCTCCAGTGGTGCCAGGCCTTCCCACGGGCGTCGCTTCTAGACTCCGAGGGCCAGCCGAGGGCTGTTTCATTTTTAAATGTGGCATTGCGATTGCTATTAATAAAAAACCCTGCTCCAGTAGCCTAGCGAAGTAAACCCTACATTAAGTGGCTCCGACGGGCCTCGCCGTTTTTTGCTTTTTTCCCACAGCGACTGTCCCATTCATCCCTGGCACTGCTCAGCAATGTCCGTGGCCCCAAGCCGGCGCGTCGGAGGGCGGGGTGCGTCTGGCGCCCAGCATCGCTCGAGATGCGGGCATCAGGGGAGCCAGGCCAAGTGAACCCCAGCCGCCCCCTCTTGAAGCACCCGCTCCCCCTCCCCTCCTGCCCACCGCCTCTGTTTTCTCGTTTGAAGAGAAAAGGAGGTGTTTTTTTTTTTTTTTTTTTAAAAAAAAAAAAAACGTTTTATGAGGGAACGTAATTGCGAACGGGATGCGCTGTCTTTAGAAACGCGCTCCTGCCGTCCCATTACCGGAATGGGGACCATTCGACTGCAGCAGATAGGACTTTCTCCCATTCTTTACTTTTTTTATTAGCCAATCAAAGTGGCTTCCGAAAGCTATTTGTGATTTGTGAAAATAGTATCTTTCAAAATGCTGAGTTGAAACGTCTTGCTCATTTCGCCTAGAATTTATTATTCTAGTCTCAACCGTGGAGACAGGATAATGCAGCTATTAAGTTGGGGGGTAAATTCGTTTCTCTGCATTTTTTTTTTAATCCACCGCATTTTCTCTTCCTCCCCGCTCTCTCATTGCCGAGGCCACGGGAGACGCAGGCCTGCGGGATCTCGGGGGCGAAGGAGGTAGTGAGCATCCGGAAGGGTTTCTTAGGGGAACTCTTGGGTAGGACTGTGGGTTGACCTCCCCAGCTTCGCCTTCCCCAAAAGAGATACCCCAGCGACTGCCTTCAGGCTGGGGAAAGTTACTGGGGCCCCAATTAAGAGCTGTGCCAATTAGGTTGTGCCACAGACTAGAAGTAAAATTTCCGGTGAGCGGCTCTCAGTGCTGTCCCATTCCCCCCGCTGCCCATTGTGAAAAGCTGGGCCAGTGCTTCCTCGTCGTAATTTTTAACTACCTGTTATAAATTTTATGGGTGGGTTTGTAAAAGAAACGAGGTCCCTACATCCGGCTGAGGGAACAGCTTTGCTGACTGTGGAGGAAGTTTGGGGAGGGGGTGAGGGATTCTGTTGGTTGGGGTGGGGGCATCTAGCCCCGCATGTCCAGTGCCCAGGCACTGGGGAACCAAGGCAAGAGCTGCTGGCCTTCAATTCTCCAGTCAGTGGGTAAAGTGTCCAGGCTGTGACCCATTAGCAAATTTATGAGGAATTTATTCTGGGATCCCTCACACTGCACTCATTGCCAAAATTAGGGGTCTGGAGGATTAGGGTGCTCAGAACTTAAGTGGGGAAGGTCCAGTTCAACGCAGGGGAAGGTTCTTCTTTCAGGGCCTGGTAAAGACAGGTCCCAGCTGCCCAGACATTGAAGCAGGATTTTTTTTTTTTTTTAGGCAAGTGGCTGTGGGCAGCCTGGCAAAATCAAAAAGGTTTCAAACTGCTTGTGAACCCCAAATGAAAAGGAAATGAGGACCAAGGTCTTGGGTCTTAATTTAATTTTTAATTCTAAAATGATTGGGGAGTAATCTGGCAGCCGAATGAATTTAAGAACTGATGAGAACACCACGGACAGTCTTGGGGAAAATTCTCATGTTCTCTGGGAAAGGGACCTAGGGATGAGGGACACTTTGGGGGTCCTGGAGGTAGCTCCCAATTCTCACCCCTCCCCTGCCTCTGCAAGACTGCCCAGAGCCCCTCTAGCCCACTGTGTTCTTCAGAGTAAGAACAGGTCAGGCTTGGTTGGGAGGCTGCAAGCAGTCTGAGCCTCCCGTTGCCGTCTGGGATGGGGTAGGAGGCTGCAGGGGCATCCTGTTCTTGAGGATGTTGTTCTCTTCCTAGAAAAAAAAGGAGAGAGAGAGAGAGAGAGAGAGAGAGGTAGAGAAGGCTTGCCTTCTGAGGCCCTTCACTCCGCCAGGCATCACTGCCCCCATGCCAACAACCTTGGCAAAGCTTAGGTTCTACCAGATCCAACCTAAATCCCCCATTTATTAAGGAAAATATTTAAAATTCAGCACAACAAGGGGTGGCAGTCCACCCTCAGCGGCAGAATGATTCCAGTCCTCCTCCCGAGCCCCCCCCCACGCCCTTTGCGCCCTTGCAGGGAGCAGCGCGGCCCGTGGGGAGTGGGCGGTGGGTGGGGGTGGGGTGGGGGCCAGGGGATGCTCCCTCTCCGAGAGAATTGGGTAAACATGGCGACCGCGGCGCCCATTTGCACACGCTACACAAATGCATCGCATTCCCGGTTGTTTGCAGAAAATTTACAGCTGAGTAATAAAAGTTTACGATCGACTCACAAGTTGGATTGGCCACAAGAAGTCATGTGGATTCCATCCATGAACGTGAACTTTTTATTGTGGTTTGTCCGTTCGGAGCGCTCCGCAGAACAGTCCTCCCTGTAAGAGCCTAACCATTGCCAGCGAAACCTGCGCTGGGCGCTCCCTTCATTACTAGTATTTTTTTTTTTAATTAATCTGATTAATAATTATTTTCTCCCCCCCCCCATTTAATTTTTTTCCTCCCAGGTGGAGTTGCCGGAAGCCGGGGGCATCTAGGGAGGATGGGGGTGGAGGGGAGAGGCAGGAGTTGAGGGCACCTCTCTCTCCCTTCCCGACCCCCTAGCCCCCCAAGGGGCAGGAGGATTGCGGGAACAGGAGTTGAGATAGGGAGCTGAAATGCCTCCGCCCCTCCCTTCTCTCAGGCTCTCCCTCCTCCTGCCCTCTTCTTGCAACTCTCCTTAATTTTCTTTGGCTTTTTGATGACTGGGACGATCCTTTTTTTCATTTTTAAATTTATATAAAGTATGTGTGTGTGTGGAGCTGAGACAGGCTCGGCAGCGGCACAGAATGAGGGAAGACGAGAAAGAGAGAGTGGGCGAGAGAGAGAGAGAGGCAGAGAGAGAGGGAGAGGGAGAATGACAGCAGCGCCCGGTAAGTGTTTCCTTATTGGTTCAAATATGTAACTAATGGTCCGTAGCTGGGTGGCGGTTTCAAGATAAGACAGCAGCGGCTTGTCTTGGTTAGAGAGGAGAGGGGGCTGGCGAGAGGGTGGGCGCGTGGGCAAATGAGTGGGGAGGGAAAGAAGTGGAGGGGAAGGGAAAAGAAATGGGGTTAAACTGGAATAAGGTTGGGAAGGGAGTGTTGTCCTAATGTCACTGTGCGTCGAACCTAGGGGTCGAGCAGGCAGGAGGACTGCGCCTCTGGGGCGCAAGACCGGAGTCTAGGGGGCCAGCCCTCTGCCTGATGCCCACGATGTCCTTGGTACCTATTTATTACAGATCTGCAGCGTCTTGGCTAATGGGATTGGGTCCGGGTCCGAGAGGTCACAGAAGCTTAAACTCCAGGGTAGGAGAGAGAACCTGTAGTTTGTGCATATTTCCCCTTGAGCAAAGTCAGCCCCCCCAACCTCGCAACCCTCAAACAAACTTTCCAGCGTCCCCTCCCTGCACTGCAGCCCCCTCCCTCTTGGAGAGCGCGACCTGGAGAGCTCACACATGCGCAGTGCGGGCCCAGGGCCGGGCCGCCAAGCAGGAAGCGAGCGCAGCGAGGCTGGCGGCGCGGCCTGTTAATTGGCAATTAGGGGGGAGGCTGGTGGCTGGTGCGCGTCAGCAGAAAGGAGAGCGTCTGCCCACCCCCTACGCCCGCCCCCACCCGGGCGGATGGGAAGGGGGGAGGTGCCCTGCACTGCGGGTTGAGGGTGGGGGTGGAGGATGCGGTGCTCAAAAGCCATCTTGTGCTGCAGAAAAGGGGCCTATCAGCGTCCCTCCTCCAGCCCGGCGTCCCCATCCTCACCGCAGCCACCCCACCGGGATGGCCACCGGACTGCTTCACCCGCCTCGCCTGGCTGCTCTGGGCTAGGACCTGCCCGGTCTGGGGCGGAGATGCCAGTTGGGGAGGCCCCAGGCTGGGCGGGGCGGGCCCAGGCCTCGCTGGTGGGGCCTCACGGGTGCGTGAAGGCCGTGAGACTCCAGGGGCGCCTGGCTCATGGGATAGGGGTTTCAGAATTCGGCGGCTTGGCAGGGCCTGGGCGTTCGGGATCCTCCTAATAATTGGTGCTAATGGAGTGTTGTATAGTCTTAACCTGACACATATGGTTTCATAACACAGTGTCTTAATTTCTTCCAAATGTACGTGGCCCTGAATGTGTTGCTGTTTGATATATGACCCCGCCCTGTTCCCAGGCCTGGGTCCGAGAGGGCCCCTGTATTTTTGAGCTTCTGGTTATAAAGGGCAACGCATACGTGAATGCTTGCACACCCAGACGGGCACACCTCAGAGCTTAGGGGTGGGCGCATATCCCCAGGGAGGTCTGAGAGTGTGGGGGTCGAACTCACCTTAGTCCAATCCAAGTCCCCCATCCTCCCAGAGACGCGACGGGGCTCCTGCGTCAAGTCCCAGTGGGGGAGGGGATTCCTCCTAGATTTCCTGTTTAAACCCTGGGTGTGTGTGGGGGTGTGCAGAAAACCCCTTTTAATCAAATTCTTAAAAATACAGTTGGGCTTCATTCAAATCAAACCCCTTGGGCCTAAACTGACGGTGAATCTTCCCTCCCATCCCCCCACAAGCCCCTTCCCATCCCCTCCTGCCCCCCCAAAATTCCCCTTTCCCAGTCTACATAAAGGCCTCTGAGGTATTCTCCCCGGGGGAAAAAATGGCATTTTCGCTCCTATTTCCCACCCCCCACCCCCAATAGGACTTGTGTATCGGCAGAGGCGTCTGCCGAGGGGCTAATTTCACGTTCCTTGTTTACGATCGAGAAAAGCGCTTGGCTCTCCCCAAATGGGCCCAGCCCGCCGTCTGCGCCGGCTGCTGCGAGCTCTCCTGCCGCTCCGGCGCGGCCCAGGGGCTGATGCCCGAGCGAGGCAGGCGCGGCCGGCCGACCAGGACCACCCTTGTCTGTGGGACCTAAGAAGGGCAAGGGAATACGGTGGGACAGTGGAAGGGCCCCAGGAGGTCCGAAAAAGGGAAGCCTTTCTCCTGGCGCAAAGAGGGAACCGCCGACCGGTGAGGCCTCTGTTTCTCTCTTTTGCCTGTATTTTGTCTGCCCCCACTCCGCGGAAGGCCGAACTGATGGGGAGGCTCGAGTCTCCTTTGTTCGTCTCTGTTGGGAAGTGTTTCCGGAGAGGGCCATTCAGGTGTGTGGGGGGATTCACCTGGGATATTAGAGAGGCCCCCTCCCTGCTGAGGGGCGGGCCTGGGCAAGGCTGGGGTATTTCTCTCGGTGGACAGGGATCTGACTGAATATGCTGACCGCAAAATTTTAGGGTGCTAGGGTTGGAGGTTAACAGGTTAAGAGCATTGTCCTGAGGCATCTTTTTTTTTTTTTTTAATCGATTAAGATTTTCTGTCCTTTCCTGGCTTTTCTTTCCTGCAGGCCTCCACTTTACCCTGAGCCTACACTCCCAGACCCATCCTCCTGAGATGGGGCATATGGAGAAGGCCTAGCAGCAGTGATTAGTCCTGGTTTTCCAGGTTTCCAGTCTGGCAGGCGATGGCAGAGAAAACACTGGGCCCAAACACCAGCCCTCTGCTTCTCTCCTTCTTCATTTTCGCTTTTCTTTCCCTTCCTTCTCTTCCTCTCCCGTGCTCAAACAGCAGCAAAGAGGGGCCACCAGTGGCAATCCCCAGCTTCTTCCAGGCCACATTCCCTGTAGACATAGTCCTTAGTGCAAGAGAGGCTGCTGTAATTATCTAATAATAGCCAGAGAGGCTGAGAATAGAATCTGGCTCAAGGACTCTACACATGCAGGCCTGGGGTTGGAGCTGGGGCTGGGCAGAGATACCTAGTTTTCCCATCAGGGCTTGGCAACACTTCTGGAGCCCAAGGCCCTACCATCCACCTCCGAGTGCTCTCTTGGGCACCTCAGGCCTGCCTGGGGCCTGTCCCTTACAGGCTTTGTCAGCCTTGCTGTCCACTGTATTTCATGTGCTGGTTCCTCAGTAAGAAGAAATGGGCTTTTCTCTCTCTGGTCTGACACTTGTGAGCCCCACGGAGAATGCGACATTGTTTGGTGAAGGCGACCTTGTTGGGTTGGCTGTTGTGTTAAGAAATAGGCTCTGTAGCTTTATATGCTATATACAGGTGCAAATGTACTAGACTCGGACTTATGCATGAATGTATACCAACTCAACTCGTATTTCCTCAGTGGTTAATTGTACATTACCATGCCTATATTCACTCAAACATTGTTTTATGTGCATGTGAAGTTTTGTTAGCCCTCAATAGATGAGAGTGGGCTCCTGGAGGCCTTGGGTCCACCAGGGAGGCCCTTCTGTGCACGCTTTCCTGGAAATCTGTGTGTGTATGTATGTGTGTTGGGATCTGAGGATGCGGGTTCCAGTAACCAACAGATGCCACAAAGCCTTTCTGAAACCTTATTACTTTGGCTGTCCAAGCAGCTGGGTTGGGTAATATCAAATTCTTTCTGCTTTCACTCACACATCCCCCCAAAAAAAACCTTCCCCAACTCAGATACTATTTAGCCAGGGAAACCCAGTTGTGTTGAAAGTGAGTTATTTGGGAAACTCACTCCAGGGCATGATGGACCAGCCAGCAGTTCTGAGCAGTCAGAACTGGCCCCTGGTGCTGGAAGCCTAGTTGGGGCAGTGAAGGGGATTGGAGTGTTTAATAAGGTGGCCTCTGGGCAGTGGTCTGGGGAAGATGCTAACCAGGGGGCCTTGGAAAGGCTGGTGGAGAAGGGGAGCCAGCAGGGGCAGGAGTGCATTCCTGCCCCTGAGGCCCTGGCTGCTCTCCGGTCCCAGATTTGTCTGCTACTGGAGGGGCAGATTAGAGGCTCTCTAAGGTTCCCTAGATGCCCAGATCTGGTTACTGGGGCTCACTACCTGAGCCGTGTGGGAGAAGGCTGATCATCACAGTGCCAGAGAGGAACCTAGGCCCCTTGCTATGGGCCTGGAGGGCTGTGTATGGGCCAAGGTTAGGAATGAACCAGCCGCCTTTTCTAACCTTTCTCCCTTCGTGGACCATAGAAAGACAAAGCAGAGGGGAAATTAAACATCAGTGGAAAATCCCACAAAAGAAAGTAATGATAGGAGCAGGATTGGAGGGGTTTTCCAAAGCTCCCTGGGAGATCAGGTTCCTCCCCTGACTGCGGTCTGCGTGTACAGGCACGCGGTGGGCCGAGGCGCGCAGCGTTCTCCCACCTTCCCTCCGCCGCCGCCGCCACGCTGAGAGCAGTCTGGGCTTTCGGGTCTCCGCTACCCTGGGAGCCAGGGTGACGTTACTCCAGGGCTGTGCCCCTCACTCAGGCCCAAGTCCTCTGCCACAACACCCCAGCCGTCCCTGTTTATTGTGTCTGTGAGTTGTTTACTTGTTTTGTCTGCTGCCACCCTGCGTCAGAAACCCGCCAAGCCAGCAAATTCGCCCTAAAAAACAAAGTACAACGCAATCCCGAACTCCCTCCCCTTTCCAGGCACCCCTTTCCCGCCATTGCCCCCTCCCTCATTTTCCCTTTTGGAGGGGAGGAAGCAGAAATAATCCTAAAATAAGGCAGATGTTAATAAGGTTAGGGGAATTATGGGGACATCATAAACCTCCGGTGCCCCGGTGGTGGAAAGACTTAGAGCAGCCCTCCCCTTGCCTCGGCTTTTCTTCCTTCCCCCACAGTCATTGAGAAAATTGAGCACCCCCCCTCACCCCCACTCTCTCACTCTTTTCTTCAGGAGTTTTCGTGATTCACAGGTTGTTGGGTTTTAAATCAGGATAATGTTGGCAGATTCATAAAGCTAGATAAAGCATGTGGCTCTCCCCGCTTCCCTCTCTTCAACCCCCCAAAATAGCAGTGAATTTAAGCAAATCCTACAAAATTAAATTGCCCCTTTGCTAAAGATCCTATAAATCTCCAATCCCACCAGGTGTAGAGTCAGAGAGGCCACTGTTCGGCCTTTAATTTTGCCTCTGGCCATCAAACCTA